ATGACTGGCACAGTGTGGCACTGCACACTGCACAGGCCGGCCGGTGGCATTGGATGAGATGATGACTCAGATATTAAAACCTAGTTGTCGACAAGACGAGGACTCTCCTGTATGACTCCCATGACGCACCGTCCCTGCGCACCGCCCTATATCCACGTTGGACATTTAACTAAGTTGCAGCCACGTTGCAGCCGTAGCAAGCTGCAAAGTCAACTCATTGTACCGTCCCGGTCTCACCGTCCGGCAGACTTTGCCCGATCATCCACTCACAGGCCGAGCTTACCCCCACTATATCAGTGCCACGCACTGCGCCACCAGGTGGGACACTCGGTCATGCACTCCAAACACGCTCAGCCTTTGCTCTTGAAAAGGGGCACCGGCCTGGATTTATGGGAGGTTTCAGATGCCGGCAAAGCAATGTCTCAATGTAGGTACACGATGTGTGCAGCCTGTGTAGTGCTGGCAGGCCGGTCACGTTACAAGGGGTTTGTAAGGGTACAAGTACACAAGCTCTTCGCCGGGCATGACGTCGCCTCAGTTAGATAGTGCAATTTAAAGCGCAAGATCATGAAGTCGTCGGTATGGCGCTAGACGTTTTGTGCAGTGCATAACGTACTAGAGATGGAATGCACTCTGCTGACAGACATGCTCCTCCTTATTTCATGACTTTTACTCCGTTCATGCGGGCTTCTTTGCATGCCCTTGCATGTACTGACAGACATACATATGCATTGGGCTGCTATTCAAGGATGTCTTCAATCTTCATGTTGTTTTAGTATCGGGCGTATACATGTCGCTTAATGGCTTCCCATTTCAATGTGGTATTCAAAATTGGAGCTTCGAGTATATACACTATGGATAGTTGGGGTATGAAAGATCATATTAGTATGCCTGGCCGGCTCGAGCTAGACGCTTTGTAGTTGTGTTTCCATGAGCTGTAATGACGGTCGCAATCTCGCAATCTTTCAAGCAAGCTAAGACCTATTGAGTTGTATATGCAGGCTAGCTCTTAACAAACATATGAATGAAGGAATGTACCCTACTAGTTCTTGTGGAGAGTTTAAACATTTATATCATGATGAATTCACTCTTTCACCTAGATTTGTAACGATCCATTGGGATGGTCAAATCTAGTTTTAAAAGACTATATTTAGTCGTGACCCTAGCTGCATATGGAATACAACGTTAGACTTACGAAGTGGCAATTCTTAACACTGCACGTTCAATATGCATGCCGCATGATGTAAACTCTTCATCTATGCATGATACATAAACGAAGAGCATCGGACATGTTTCTTCAAATATGATTGAACTGATCGACCAAGCCTTTGAGAACCTCCAAGTTCTTTCTATTTGCGAGAAATAAAGCCTCCCAATCGTATCTAATTCTGCAAAGAAAGGTTGATACATATTCGAAAGAGGCAGTGAAAGAACCCAATGCACTGGCTTACAACATCACAATAAAGATTCGAGCCAAGAGCGGATGGCATCCCATCCGCACCCACGTGATGCAATGCGTATCAAGTCCCGCACATATGATCTCCAAGTTGCATCCGCTCTTCACTAGCTGGATCGCCTGATGCATTCCAATGGGCACCGAGACATGCCTACTATGATCGGCAAACATCGTGGACGGTTTGAACTAAAGACTCAAGGACGCTATTAGGCTAGCTCGAAGCTCTCTCTCTCATACATGTATCCGAAGGAAGCACGAGTTTGCACATTTGCATTGCAAAGACGATGCTGACCTGCAGAACACCGGAAACTTAAGCGATTTTCATGTTCTGTTCAAGCAATCAAGTCAGTGCTATTGCTTATTATTACATTTGAACAAAATCAAAGAGTACCTCGACACATCGGATGTGAAATCTGCAACGATAGACCGTAGTACTGTCGCTGAAAGTGGCTTTTAATGGCACGATTTGAAACTGATGCGATAAGGGTCTCGAGTGACAAACAAGATTTGGTCACGTGGGCTCGCCCCCTTGTCGTAAGACAGTCTCGAGTCTGCTTTCTAGCTGCGACTCAGGAGTCTAGCGATCAGCGCGTGCCGACCCTTGCATTAATGACGTGCTGGTGCTCCCCGACACACGTCAGCGTTGAGACGATACGAATCGAAGTATGATACCAGGCACAGTGCTTGGCAATGAGACTTGATTAAGCCAACTCTGGAGATTTCGGCTTGAGCAGAGGCCAGAGTCCACTCACCAAGCTCCGTTGGTTCCGGCCACCTCGCACTCGCCCCGACTTGGCTTTCCCAATCCGCCGTGGCTTGGGGTCGAAAGATGACGCCCTCGGGCGTTCACAGGTTCGGAGGACTTTTCGGACGCTTGAATTTCTGACTTCCAAGATGCACAAAGCCGCGCTGAGCTTCTTACATGGTGTCCCTTGGGTCAGCTTCTCCATTGCCATCCACGCAGAACTTGTCAGGGGCCCCGTTATCCAGAGTGATGATGCTGTCTGCGTCCGTTTCCCTGGGCGCATCGCCATCTGCGCTACTCACAGGACCTTCCGGCCAGGAGCATGCAAAGCGCCAGATGGACACCGAGTTACGCATGCCTGCAACAAGCAATACTTGGAATAACTTTTTTAAGCGCAAACCCCTCTTTGTCGGGCTTTCTTGGGTTTTGGGTTTCTTGTTCCTTAGATGGGTGCAGCCAGGAACAAGTTGCTTGCGAACAGCTGCCAGAGACTGTTCGCTTTACATGAGGAGCGCACCAAAAGGTCGCCAGACGAGAAACAGGGGACGCAGGTGATAAGTGACACCGTGACCGATCTGACACTCTCAACGAAACACTTGTCCTTCAACTCAACATGCAAGCTACCGTAGTATTTTCCCTACAAAGCATCGGACGGGCTGCAAACAAAATCCTTCCCATCGCCGGTCAAAGAGTACCGAAAGTATCGGCTTCTCCAGCTTGAAGTCCCACCATCATGCGCAGGATCGACTGCCGCATCCTGAAAAGGTGTCGCACTTCCTCCCGTCTCGAGCTTACCTTCGTCTTCTGCCTCTCTTTCATCTTCCTCATCGTCCTCGTCCCACACTCTGAATCTCCGCTCCCCCGAGGCCGTCGCCACCAGCGGCAACATCGGATGAAACCCAAACCCGTTCACTGTGTCCGGCGCCGCCCGGTGCGTTGCCTTCAGTTCCCCGGTCGTCAAGTCGAACACCCTGACGCACCCGTCCTCTCCCCCGGTTGCCAAGTGCCTTCCCCCGGGTTCGATGTCAAACGCGATCCGCTGGTTGGTGTTACTACTCTCTCGAGACAACCGGTAGACTTCCCCAACCGTGTAACGGACGTCCCAGCACAGGATGCTGCCGTCCTTCCGGGCGCCGCTGTAGAGGTACGTACCGTCTCGGGAAAACTGGACCTGGGTGATCCCGCCAGTGTGGCCGGACAACACGAAGAGTTGCTCGGCCATCGCCTCGGAGTAGATCCCCACGGTTCGGTCGTAGCTACCAGCTGCGACAAGGCCCCCGTGGTCTGGGCTGGCACTGAGACAGGAGATGATGCCTGCACGAGTTTCAAATCGGATCCGTCCATGCTTGGTTGGTGAGAGCACTGGGCTGCAAAGAGACTTCGGGGGTCCCAAGAAACTGGCTCTTTGTGATCAGAATAACCACGCTTTTCTTGGTTGCTGTGTTTCCTTCTATTCCGCTTCAGATTCGTTGAAGTGCCACTAAACCATGTCAAAACAAAGCATCCGCTGCAGTTCCTGATCTTCATTCTAACCTTGGCATGTATCAATTCCAAATCCAGATGCCAACGGCTTAGGCGAAGACCGCAAGTTGCCAACAGAGTCCGAGATCCGTTAAGGTTGTCGTGTAGAAACCGACCTGCCTGGCCCTCCTTGGTCACCCCGTTGACGGTCATATGTTCCGTATACTCACGGCCAGGGCGCGCCACGTCAAAGACTCGTATGCACTGCTCATAACCACACCAGAGCCTGCAATCGTAGGGAGCAACGTAAAGGATTCTGGAATCGATCTTGCAGAAAACGAAATGGACGCAATGTGACTAAGCCCCAGCCTACAGGCTCGGGCACAGCGGTTGTTAGAAGCAAAGATGCAAGAGCAGTTCGTAACCAGCAAGTAACCAGCAAGATATCCCACTCGCTTTTGTAAGCAACCCCGCTCCTGTGACCTTCACGAGCAGAGGTAGAGGAGAGGTACTGCTTTCTCCAAGTTTGAAGCTGCACAAAAGCTTTTGGGTGGGGTCTCATACGAGACTGACCTGTCGCCTCCGGTGCTGAAGGCTACACTGAAGGCTGCCGTAACCTCGTCCTTGTCGTTATAGCCTCGGTATGTGCCTCGCAGCTGAAAGCATGACAGAAAGCAGACTGAGTACGGCTTCGGCTTCTGTGATCGTCCTATCAGCAGGCATGATCGTGAGCAAGACGGACAGGTGGCCACTTGGAGTAAAGACCAGTTGACTGCCAGCTAAGTGCGCTCGGAAACACTGCAAGGACGACTCGATCCAAGCAACCAACCCTACCGACTTTCGAGAAGAGGCAGTTGCCTCAGAAGACGTGGAAAACAAGTTGCACTGATGTGGGGTCTTTTGGACATGTGGTTACCTGTCCTGTGTACGCATCCCACAGGTGGACGGGCTTGTCTCGAGATGTGGCAACGAAACAGCAGGTGGCAGGATCTGCAGCAGATGCAACCGAATTGCTTTCAGACTTACTCCGAAGAATCTAGGAAGCGAAGCCATATGGTAGCGTTCTTTTACAAGGAAAGGTTGCTTGCCAAATGGAGCTCTATCTGGGCGACAAAGTCTGGCGTCTAGGTACTGTGGAAGTGAAGATCAGGCAAGAGCAGCCAAGAACCCATGAAGTTGGCTTTAGTGTTGACCAACTTTTAACCTTGAAAGTAGTGAACTGCACAAGAATGGGAATTTGGACATAAAAACCCTCTCCAAGCGAGATTGAAAAGCTGGATTCGTCAACTGCAAATCATGACATGATATGATGCATACAAGAAAACTTAAGGACACATGCCCCTCACCTGATGCATGCATGTTTGGGAACCATGCAAAATCATAGACGATCTCCCCTTCCCAAATGGTCAGGGCGGCCGCAACGGAGTCATCTATGGACAGAGTGACGGATGCTCAGCAAGATCTATCATAAGATCCAAGCATCAGAGAAACAATCTACTCAGTTTCAGCCCTGAAGCGTTTGGACGGACAATACTGCAAATCCCTGAAATCAAGCCTTTCATTCAAGCGCAAAGTCACTTTGATTATTGATTGATAGAAGCCAGTGCGTGGAGACTTTGTGTCAACATTTGCAAAATTCTATAACTACCTTGACAAGGTGGAAGCATATGAGATAATTTATACCTTCAACTTCGGAGTCGAGCGCAGGACGTTGCAGGGTGTCAGCCGGTCTGCAACGGGAGACAGCGACAATGAAGACCATCCCCCTTGCTCTTCAATGCTGGACGGCCCTTACTGGCCGCTCCTTTCATCAGATCTCCGTTGGGCCTTATAGTAAAGTGAGTGCCAAGACAGAACCGATCAAGCAACAGCTAAAGCTCTGTTCTGATGGCCAGGGTGGTATGCCAAAACGCTCTCTCTGCAATCATGATCAGGAGTAGTACGCATTGGGCATCAACTTCATGTATTTTGATGGCGTCCTGGCCCATGACAAGCTCATCATGAGGGTTGCTTAGACTCACAGGTCAAAAACCCGGAGCTTGGCATCCTCGCTGTTGGTGAGAAAGCTTGTGCCGTCAGGCGACCTGCGAAAGAACACGAATAAGCAAACTAGCTTTCAGGTAACCAGCGCATACATTCGCTTGATCAGCAGCATTCTGGGAGAGAGTACTTCATGTCAGCAATTGGTTCGTAGGAGCCGCTTACCACTTCACTCCTTTCAGAAAGTTTCCAAAGGGATACTTGTCGGCCGCACCACTCTTGCGCTGGGCATCTTGAAACTGTTTTCTTATGATCAGCACTCTCTCAGGAGACTCTCCATAATCTAAAGTCGGCCACTGCCAGCTCGTTGTCTCCATGATATCAATGTCGCCCGCCTCTGCTATCTCCGCATCCACAGGCATGGAAGGTGCGCCCGCCACCTCAATGCCGGCGGGCTCTTGGACCAAGTCCTCCATTTGCACGTTTGACCTGCAGATTGCGGCCTTTGAAACCTGTCAGGATGATAACAACTCCAACAAGCTGAATTGCCACTGCCACCTCGTTCTTCTGTTCAAGCAGTGGCAAGGAGCTGGCCCTTGGGTTCAACGCTATTCTATCTGCATAATGCAGCCTGAGGCTGCAGGACGCTCAACTTCAAATAGTCATGAGTTGAATTGGCGGACTGTGCAGCAAAGTTTGCTTGGGCGCTCATTCAACATTGCTCATGCGAGACTTCTCCTTTCCCATCACATTGAGGCGCTCTTGAGATAAGATTACACAAGGGATAGACTCGGGTCCAAAACGCTGGTCATACAATTGGCCTAACACCACCATCAATCGTATTGCCGCCGGTCAATTGGTGGTGTTGATGACACTCGTCTTCCTTCTACGAGCGCTGAACTCTTTCAAGGCGCTTTCACTTGTGTACCCATCCAGCTGCTACCACCCACAACGTCGAATGCTGGGAAGCTCCTTCTTGCGGGCCGCCCCAAGCCCTGGAGAGGTCCATCTATGGTTGCTCGACCCCTCAAAGGTTGACGACCCGGTACTTTTAGAAGTGTACTCGACCTTCTTGAATGATGAGGAGAGGGAGATTGTTGGGCAGGGTGCGACGGAGGAGGCTAGAAAGGAGAGGCTGCTTACCAGAGTGCTCGCCAGGACAACGCTGGCTCGATGTGAGTAGGCTGGTGTGTCTTGTATCACAGTTTCAAGGCACTCATAAGAAGAGAATCACACAGTGAAAGGCCTGATTAAGCTCAAGCAATCAGGTCATGTGCGATGGAGATTGCCTCTACTACCACCACTCCTTATTAGTGGTGTTGTTCAGTGCAATCAAATGCAGCTACAGGTTGCTGAATCAGCTTGGTCGCATCTGATGCCCTTGTCTATGCGCAGATTGTGGGGGCCTCCTTGATCCCTCTCAGCTCGAGTTTGGTTGCAACATTCACGGCAAGCCATCAATCAAAGGGCCCGCCAACCTGTTCCAGGGAGGAAGGGGAATCACCCTCTCATCTTTGCAATTCAATCTGTCACATACTAAGTCGCTCATTGCCTGTGGGGTGGCCAACAGGGTGCAGGTCAGGCCTTATGCCCTGATCCTTGTCGATGAGTCACTCTTCTCAATTTTGCACCTTGAGCAATCTGGTGGGGCTTGTTGAATTCCTCTCTCTTGTCAGCTTGTCTATACCTTGCAAAGACTGAAATGCAGCCTCACTTGCTGCAGAGCTTGAACTATAGAAGCAAAGAAAGCCATCCTGAGCCGCTACTGGAGTGCCTGTTTACTCTGCTTCTGTATCACTGAGATCGAATGCTTGTTGTCCCGCAGGTCGGTGTTGACGTCGAAGAAACATCACGCCTTCTGAAGACCGATGTTCTCAAACTCGCCTCTAGGAAGTTTTCTGCAGCGGAAGCTGCGACTCTTGCCAAGATGGAGTGCCCGCAAGCAAGGCACTCCCGATTTGTGGAGCTTTGGACTCTCAAGGTGCGTACTTTATTCTGGTGAAGATAGCTTTGACCTATTGCAGCCTCATCTGGCGCTCTTGTGTCTGCTATGAGCACGTTTGTGGATATACATTATGAGCAGACTTTGCTCTAAGAGATAGAATGTTCAATCCTTTCCCGTCCAGAAGTTTGCGCTTCTTGACGGATCCAGGCTTCTGACAGGAATCTTTATGCGTTTGGTCATGTTATAAAATGTCAGAGGGAGTGGAAAGAGATTCGCTTTTCTCTAAGCCTCTCCTGACAGAGTTCGTCTGCTCCTGCCAGGAGTCATTTGTCAAGGCCATCGGAAAGGGCATCGCTGCAGCTCCTCTGAGCGGCTTCTCCTTTGACCTCCGACCACAGCCCGAACTTGCACGGACCTTACAAACTGTGGCTGGCCTCCAAAGCGCTCCCAATGTAAGCCAGCTCTTGCACAAGTGTCCTGCTTGATAAACACGATTCCAAGCAGGCGAACCGTTGTGATGGTAGGAACATTACTTGGTGCTTAAGAGTCTGCCACTGGTCACTCACAGTTTGGGCGATTGCTAGCTTGTTGCTTTACCTTGGTCAACCTCGTGGGACTCCAGATTCCTCCAATATCTCTACAGTGATCGGACAAGGAACACGATTCATGCGGTTGAATCCTAGGAACCTGCGCAAGAAGCTAAGTACAGTCTGTCCGTGCAGCCGCTCCAGATAGGTCTCTCGTTACATGACAACAGCATGCCCGGGGAGGGCAAGTACGGGCCAGACCCAGCCGCCTGGCGCTTCTTCTTGGTCCGCCCGTCGCCTCACCACACACTTGCGGTGTGCGTCCAGAAAACTGAAGGTATCGTCCCTTCCTTGGACGAAACGCTTGCTTAGCCATCTCTGATTTTGTGTCTTCATTTAACAACTTAGAGGGAAAGGGAGCTGCTTCGTTGTCTGGTGATCTGATTTGTCTGATTTGGACTTCGTTTGAACCAAAACGCTTGACACTTGACGCAAACAATGGGCTCAGTGCACCCTCACAACTTTGAAGCATCATGAAGCATCGCTTGCTTTTGACATCGTTTCTTGCACAACCGAAACCTTTCTAAAAGCCACGGTCCGGAACGGTCTCGTGACGATTTTGTTGTTGCCTCCTGCAGGTAACACTCCGTTGGCGACCCCCCACCTCTCAATCTGGGAAACTTACCCCCTGCTCTGGGATGAGCCCCTTGGCGGGGACGCCACAGCCCTGGGATGCTCTGCGGAAACTCGATGAGAGAAGGATCTTCTTGCTTCCAGCCAACAGGTACGCACCGCCCACCCTTTTGGGATTGCCCCTCAAAAGCAAGGCGTCTTCCTGTTGTCGACTCGGGCGGCTCCTGGTGCCTCTACGGCATTCCACAGAATTGAAGCCTGCCTGACGACGGTCTGCTTGCCTTCTGCCTGGGATGCGACGTTTGTCGGCTGTTAGCCTACGGGCAAGAAGCATGACTTGCTGATACGATGAACGCCCTACCAGACTTGCAGCAGAGCTGAGGAGCCGAAAGGCCACGAATGAACTTCTTGCGCTTGATTGGCAGCCTGGCGCGGAGAAGCCCCGACGACAAAAATAATGAAAAGGGGAGACTGCGCAATCAAGAGTAAGGCCGAACGACTCACATTACTCTTTTATGCCTTGTAGTCGGTTGCAGATCGAGGAAATAACGCTTCTCTCAACTGAAAGAAACATTCAGGGACTTCGACCTCGTTCCTCACAATGGTATTGCTGTAGATAGACGCGTGCTTTGTTTAGTTTCCGGCCACGTAAAGAGGCGTGCATTAGAGCGGTTCCAAAAATCAGCGAAAAAGAAGGAAATGCTTGCCAAGATTATCAATACACGCGGTCCACGCATACAGGTTGCTGAAGGGCTGTCTGGAACAGCGCTGCTTGCTGAATCTTTGACCTTACCCTGACAGGTTAACTTGCGGAGACTCTACTTGCCAGCGGTCCAAGTGGATGTTATAGTAAGAAAGATCGATCACAAGCAAGTTTCCCAACACTAGCTGCCCGTATTACTTGATACCTTGGTCATTCCATGTCGCCTGATGGAAGGCAGGACACTTCCGTCAGCGGTTGCGGCGCTGGATGGGCCCAGGCCCCAAGCGTGAGGACATGCGTGACTGCATGTAAATATAGAACTTGTCATGTCTTGGTATTGCAATTGGACATAACTGCACAATCGAAGAAGCAAGGGGAGTTTAGGGCCTGGTCCGCCATCATTGCCCTATGTCTCATTAGCCTTAAAAAGCATTAATGGTGGTCGATTGTTGATCAGTCTAATCTCTGTACTTCTAGCTAGACGCTGCATATATAAACGTGATTATGGCCGGGCGCCATGAACAAATCCGACTTACCATTTAAACTGGGGCTTAGAAATCCTGGTCACCGCCCCGTAGATTTAATGGTTACTGCTGTATGTTCACATGGCGTCTCTACGATCCGACGGCTGACAAGTGCATGTGAGAAGCTTTAATTACTTGCAGAATCGATACATACAGGCTCTTTCAGTTGTATACGTCTTTGGATAGTATTGTGGCGTGTTTAATTAAGGATAATATGATGCGTTTTGGCACACATGACTGCCTCGTAGCATATGCATGACGTTGCATACATGCATGCCCAAGTTGTAAATGGAATGAGTGCAGCATGCGAAGTGTGCATGCCTTGATGCGTATACTGTAGGTATAGCTGATCGGCCGTGTAGTGTATATACTGATTTGAGGTATCCTGGATTATGGTCAGCTAACGCAGGAGGCATCATGCTAGCTAGCATGATAGACAATGACAATCTAGATACAATCTGTCCATGCAATTAAGCAGCCAACATTGTGCACCGCATGTGAACCTTGAAAGAGATCAAAAGCTTCTGAATCCGTGGGCCATTATTTGCTGTGGTTAGGCATACTGCGTGCATGGGTGACTGGTTGGCAGGATGGCTTCCAAATGATGTGCCAATACGTTTACATGGCACGGCGTCTCACAGTGCAGCAGAGGAACTGGTGCTGCCAAAGAACTGGTAAAACGGTGCATGCCAGAAAGGTCTCGTCACTATGAAGACTATATTTGACATGGCATCCTGTTGAAGATGTTGAACGGGATGGAGGAGTCTGTTCTGACCCGCTCTGAGTCTCTCCGACTACGTCTAGAAATCAAAAAACAGACTCTGAAAGCTTCGACCTTCGCCCTGATATCTCCACCGTCCTGCTTTCCCATAAATTGAGACTTCAATCGGCAAGAGCACCGTCGGTTTCTCAAATGCCATCTTGGATAAGGACATTTCGTAATCCTTACTTCTCGTAATCCTTGGCCATCTTCTCGGCCTTAGCCACCACCTCCTCAATGCCACCAACCATGTAGAAGGCCTGCTCGGGCAGGTCATCGTACTTGCCGTCCAAGATACCCTGCAAGGCCAACAAAGTCCCATTAGAAAGGCGAAATTGGAAGGAGGCGAGCAAACCTCCAGACGAAATCTTCCTTTCTCGGACTACCCAGTACAGCCCTTGGTCAATGCCAAAAGCATCAACAAGGCCAGCTTTACGATCCCCTGTGCCCCTCACTTAGTTTTTGTCTGCAGACAAAGACATGGTGCGACATGATAATGGGGAGGCCAGCACACTGCCATGACACCAACAATCTTGGCACTCTGCTCATCAACACTGGCTGCAACATCCTTGCAGTCGTCAACTCCTCCGTGCCATGCAAAACGCCCTCACCTTGAAGCCCTGGATGCTCTCCTTCAGGTCCACGTACTTCCCTGGCGAGCCAGTGAAGACCTCAGCCACGAAGAAGGGTTGGCTCAGGAACCTCTGGATCTTGCGGGCGCGCGCGACCACCATCTTGTCATCTTCACTGAGCTCGTCCATGCCCAGGATAGCAATGATGTCCTGCAGGTTCTTGTAGTCCTGGAGCACCTTCTGGACGCCACGCGCCACGTCGTAGTGGTCCTGCCCAATGATGGTGGGGGAGAGCATGCGGGAGGTGGAGTCGAGGGGGTCCACCGCGGGGTAGATACCCAGCTCGGAAATCTGCAAACGGGTGCAAAAGGCAGGTGCTCAGAGGAATAGAATCAGCACCCCCCAATGCTTTTGTTTGTGGTGTAAGTGTCAACCAGGTAGACGCATGGAGCTTGGCAATTTGCAGGACGGTGCCACAGACAGGTGCTCCGGGTTCCGTGCAAAGGGCTGTGAGACTTGTGAATGGACAGCTTAGTCTGCTCTCAAACTGCCAGCAGCGAAGCGGTACTGTGATGCACAAACCTTGCTAGGGCTTCTTCCCAGTGCCTGTCAACATTAGCAAATCCGACCTCAGCAAGTCGCATGTAGGCAATGAGAACAAGGCATCTTCGCAAGTGTCAAGAAGCATCAAAACAAAGATACCAAAAGAGGTAACCACAGCAACTTGCAAAGCACGATCCCCTCAAGAGACTCCTGATTAAGAAAAGGACTGAAGCCGCAGTATCTCGTATAAATACATGGTCCAGTGCGCGTCAGCACCCACCAACAAAAGGAATCAACAAGCTCTCCCAACAGCCAAGCCAAGCCCTGGGCCCTCACCGCACGGGACAGCACAGTCGTGGCGTCAAGATGGGCGAAGGTGGTGGCAGGGGCAGGATCCGTCAGGTCATCAGCAGGCACGTAGATGGCCTGGACTGAGGTGATGGAGCCCTTCTTGGTGGTGGTGATGCGCTCCTGCAGACCTCCCAGATCGGTGGCCAGGGTGGGCTGGTACCCGACAGCAGACGGGATACGGCCGAGGAGAGCAGACACCTCAGAGTTGGCCTGCATGGATCAAGACCAAGGTCTACTATGACGGCTGATTGTAATGGAGGGCAACTGGAAGTTGGAACATGAATAGTATGTGCTTCTCAAAGGAGGCTGATTGAGCAATCTCAACAACAGGTTTTGAGCTTCCCAAACCAGAACCCTAAATCAGACGGAACAGTGCCGATCACTTGCCAGTAGGATGCACTGCCTTTGAGAGGGAAATGCAGACAAAGGCGCTGCAGAGCCGAAGAGCCTTCTGCTTACCTGGGTGAAGCGGAAGATGTTGTCCACGAAGAACAGCACATCCTGACCCTCCGCATCTCTGAAGTGCTCCGCCACAGTGAGACCAGTCAGACCCACGCGGGCGCGAGCACCTGGGGGCTCATTCATCTGGCCGTACACAAGCGCGCACTTGCTCTCGGCCTGCAATTGCATCAGGAAACAGCGCCACATCAGCATGCAGACACACCATTGCTAATCTTTCAGCGAGCCTTGTTTACTTGTCTAGATAGGCCGGTATGCCAGCAAATCACACATTCACCACTCAATACTCCAAATGCTGAGATTTAACAAAAGTTGGCACTGCTCACTGTGGACCATTTGCAACAAAGCTCCGAATTTACCAATTCAAAAATGCCCCTGCACCACTCTTCACAGAAACATGTCCATAACCTTTCTACTTTAGCAAGGAAAGTCGCAGCATTATAGGTACTGCCATACCTGCTTGTCCCCCGTCTTGATGACACCAGACTCGATCATCTCCTTGTAGAGATCGTTGCCCTCGCGTGTCCTCTCTCCCACACCAGCAAAGACAGAGAAACCACCTGCAAAAGTAAAATGCTCTCAGCTCCACAGGCAGGGACGATGCTCCAAAAAGGAGATGATGCCTCAAAGCACTTGGTAGAAACTCAAGAGTCAGTCAGAGCGCTGCACTCGGCGAACGGGAATATGCAGACAACTGCTACTAGCCTTCGGAAAATCCCAATCCAACCCACCGTGAGCCTTGGCCACATTGTTGATCAGTTCCATGATGAGCACGGTCTTGCCGACACCTGCTCCCCCAAAAAGTCCAATCTTGCCTCCTCTTTGGTAAGGTGCGAGCAGATCCACCACCTGAACAGAGAACGCAAGCACTTTCAAGAGCTCCCAATGTCCCAGGTTCATGTAAGCATGCAGAATCATAGCTCTTCGCCAGAAGGCGCAAGCGACCATGCCAAAATAAGTCCGCCTGCGCTTAAGTTGGCATCAACCATTAAGTCTGCATAAAACCCTGAAAAATATGGCTTGGCCGAGTAAAATGCTGCATTCTGCGTCAATTCAAGTGCATGCTGATGTGCATGACAATCCAAGCAGCAACTTCTTTGTTGATCTAGAAATTACCTTGATGCCCGTGACCAACACCTCCTGCTCTGTGCTCTGTTCAGCAAAGGATGGAGCCTCTCTGTGAATTGGCAGGGTGTCTGGCGTCTCTGCATAAACGGTAATCATCCCCAGTCACGAAGAGGATAAAAGTGGAACAATAAATGCAGCGAGCTTGCAACACCAGCACATACCGTGGAAACTGAACAATCAGAATGCATACTTGCTCCCGTGCAGTTTAAGGCCCGTGCACTGCAAGGAGATTGCAGGGGCTTACTGATCGGGCCTTGCTCATCGATTGGCTCGCCGATGACATTGATGATGCGACCCAAGGTCGCACGACCCACGGGGATCTGCAAATTGCACTGCAAATCTTGAGTACAAACAACCAACCAAACAGATGCCAATATCAACCTCACAAAGAGATGCAACAATTGCTGCTTGCCGCTGATTTGATAATGGATCCATGCACGCTACATTAGAGGAAGACAGAAAAACGAGGTGCAGATGCGTACCCTGATTGGCGACCCGGTGTTGAGCACCTTCTGCCCCCTCACAAGACCATCCGTCCCATCCATGGCAATGGTGCGGACAGTGTTCTCTCCTAAATGAGCAGCAACCTCGAGCACCAACCGTACAGGATGGTCTTGAACCTCCAGGGCAGTGAGGATAGGCGGGAGACCCTTGTCAAACTTAACATCGACAACGGCTCCAATGACTTGAGTCACACCTCCGACGGCTCCAGCTCCTGTGAACTCATCTGTCGGCTCAGGATCAGCGACAGCGGCCTCGGCAGCAAAACCTCTAGATGCCACAAGCGACTTGCTGCATTCCTTCAGTGACACAGTGTTGTCAAATGTCCGGAGAGCGGTCGATCCTGCACGCAGTGTGGAGCCCCTAGCTGCAGTTGAGAAGCCCCTCTTTGCCACTTGCTTGGCACTCTGACCCTGCCTTTGAGATCCAGCCCGCAGAGCTGCTGCAACAGCTCTCTTGAGGATCGCCATGTCTCTCCTCCTTCAGAAGGCCAATGAGGCGATGCAGACGTTCTTTATCTACAAAGAGACGGCAGCCATGCCCTGCCACAGCCCCCTTGATGCTTCTGGCACTGCACACCGTCAGCTGCGCCCCGCCACGCTCCACGAAGCCGATGCAGGACGCCACTCCCGAGTCTGCAGACCTGAATCTGACTCTGACCGGAACACTGACTCTGAAGTCTGAACTCTGAGCTCTGAGTTTTGCTGCTTCATAGTGTCTCTGTCGCAAAACCATCAAAGTAGACTCCTTTTGTTAGTGTCTCCGCCACTCTGATTGGTGTGAATTGCTCTCAACCCACCTCGAAGCACCTGAAGTGTGACAATTATTGCAATCTGTCGGTGGTTACGGTAGTGGTTACGACGTTGACAACGAGAGTGACATCGACATCGACATTGACATCGACATCGACATTGACCCGGGACACTTACTGTGACATTAGGGTTACGTTGCAAACCTGTGACTGTTCACGCCAGTCGACGAGCGCTTTGTTAGGGTTACGCCATTTCCCAGTGACATTAGGGTTACTCACGGACAGTGACAACCGGGCAGAGTCCTTTAGTGTTGTAAGCCATTCATCCCGACCCAGTTCCATCCGTACCAGAGTCCGTACCGGAAAGTGTACGGTAAAACCTGACATTCTGACACAGTTTTGTTCAAAGGACCTGATCTCCCAGTACGGTCCACGCGGATATCCTGTGAACCTATGATCGCGCGTGTAAGATGTTTTCACACTTTTTTGGAGCCTGAGACACTAACAAAAGGAGTCTACTTCGTCGTACTAGCGTCAGTGTCAGTCTGCCATCTTGCCGAGAAAGTGGCATAGCAGAGCCGTCGATGGCCTAGAACGCATATCGAACGGTTGCCATGGACACTTAAACTGCTTGACAAGGTTCAGCCAGCCAAGTTTGACTGCAAGACAAGTGCAATGATCGGGGCCGTCCAAGCTCGAGCCATTTCTCGACATGAGCTTTTGCTCGTGAGCGTATGAGCGTAAAGGACCCGATTTTGAGCGTTAACGACTGGTTTTGAGCGTTACCGACTCAAAAATGACGATCAAACGCTCAAAACTGACGTCATCCCTGCTTTTTGAGGAAATCCCCGGGCAGATGTTGGTTCTTGGTCGCCTGTATGACGTCAGCAACAACAGTTTGTCCCTGGGGCCTCTAAACAATTAAGTATCTGTGAAGCTGGCACCATAGGCACCTGGCACACGACCATAATCGTGCGGACTTCACACGGTGCAACGATGTTCAATTAACGGCCTTCGAATATGAGCTTATAATTATGTAGTGCATATCCTGCCGAAAATGACAATAAGACTTCCTATAAGCTAGCAGGATCGATCAAGTCAAGGGGAATTGTATACGTAAGACAGCTGGCAAATGGCATCGAAGTCGCTGACGGTACGGTGTGTTAGGTAAATACCAACATATACGTCCCTTAATATGTCGAATATATCCTGCGGACTCTCGAGTACAGTAGTAATTCACCGACGTAATACCTAGGTACCGTCACCTTACCAAGGTATTTTGTCCCACGTCGTTCTCCTGGGAAAGCATCGCACCCAGGGTGCGATGCTTTTCTGTTTAAACCACCACCCACGATTTATAATCGGGCAAAGTTAAAATGCTGACGTGGC